CAACTTAACATCTTGAAAACAACAACAGCCATTACAACAACTGGGAAATTAATAGTTTCATAATTTTTGACAGATGAAATTCAGTTATTTTTAAGCATCTAAATAATTTGCTTACTTACAATGCATTGGAAATCATATTCTTGTCCAGACATTTCTGGGTCTGCCAACCTATAATTGGTTTACACATGATTAATAATTTTAGGGATTACTCTAAACAACAAACTCTCTGTCTCACCATAAAATCAGATTGTGTGAAAAAGATAAAATGCCGCTTTTGTTGTGGATATTTCATCATTTTTTTATTTATTTTTTTTCCTTCTTGGTGGCAAGTTCTTTTGATGTTTTCAGACAGAAGCAGCAGCTTTGAAGATGATAATGCGCGGAAAATTGGCATCGGAGGGGATTTATGTCGAAATAATGAGGCGTACATTCCTGAGGATAAAACGGGTTTCTGCGTGGGTTGAACTGCGATAGATCTTGTATCACTTTCAGCGAAAGGTTAAAAGTCGGTGATTTACTGTGTTCGATTCAGTTTGGGGGAAGAAATCACACGTTTGGCTGACACTTGTTATCTATTTCTTCCTGGAAATTTGTTCGATTTGTGATCTAGTCCATTTATTTCGATTTCAACGGAAGTCTATTTTTGGAAGCTAATTTTGAAATCTAATGTGACAAGTATAATTTTATAATAATTTTTTATCTTTAAATAAGACGTAATATATTTATACGGTTCCAGCGTGTTGCATTTTTAATCTAAAAAAAATAAATGAGAAATAAGATAGACGAACATAAAAAAAAAGATTGTAGTGTTTTGGGCATGACAACCAGATTGTAAATGGGTGTGGTTGGGTTGAAATACTTCAGATCCAGCTTGAAGAACTCAGTCTTTATTTACGGATGCCAAACAGCACGCACATGTAATTAGAGATGCACAATATTTAACACATTTAAAGACAGATAATTCTAGATTATTTGAAGGATTCCATTTCTAAGCAAAATATCCAATACACTGTTACGCGCAAGATAAGCGAAATATATTTCTTCACCAGGTGAGAATTTGTAGGTCCAATAATATGCAAGGATGAATTAACTATAACTCCTCAAGGTGAGAGACTGTAAACTAAACGACTTAGTAACAACAACTTAACATCTTGGAAACGACGACAACAACTTGACCTTTAAAAAAAATTGGATATTTATATTGAGCTTTTTTGATAGTTTAAATTGATATTGTAGCGAACGGTTTGCCTACGAGGATATCTTCTGGCTCAAATTATCCTAAACTTCATTTCACCATAAAGCCGTGAAATGTCATATTCTACGTAATAAATAACACAATTTAACTTCGTATAAGTAATATCTACGTATAATTTAACACATACAAAGATAGTTAAGAAAATGTAACTAATTAACTCTTTGTATGCCAATAATGGTGTTCTTTAAAAACGTAAAAGTGTGGTGTTTTATAAAGCGTTTCTTATGTAAAAACTTTTAAACTTATTTACTTAAATATTTAATTTTAGTGCATTTAAATAATAAAACAACTTAATTAGGATGTAAACTATATGGAAAAAAAATATTGTTTTTGTGGAACAAGCATAAGTACGTGTAATTATTTTATTTTGCTGAATTAAAACAGAAATTAATTTTGACTTAAATTTGTACTTCAAATAAGGAATTTGTGAGCATCTATATGGCGTATAAATCGAATCATTTATTTATAAATATACAAATACTGTTTCATATAAATTTTATTTCTTCCATTAAAGTACAGTTTTATTGACTTAAAAAAATTGATTCTATAGTTAATGAAATAAGTTGTGCAAGTTTTGGGGTCAGGAACTTACATCACATAGCACGAACAATTTTTATATACCAATTCCATTCTAGACTGATTTTATTATTACCCATAAAATATATGGCTATTGTTTTGCGGAACAGTTTCAGGACTTGCTTAACCAATTTCAATTTTGTTATTTTGCAGAGGACACGCTCTTTGTTACCATGACAACTATATTTTTTTTAGTATTTCTTTTTTAAATTTCTGTCACGTGCTAATAATAATATGATTAAACAATATAAAATTGTTTTATAAGATCGGTAATCTGATTCCTGAAATCTAATTTTTTAAATTTGTACTTAGAGATTTTTTTATACAACTAAATAATTATTAAATAAGTTATTTATAAAAATTAACTCATAAAGAATAATTAATGAAAAATTGTCTGAAAAGATCGTCTGGTGAAAGCAAAGACAATTTCATTCAATTCCTTCTATTGGCTCACACTCTCCCTATATATATCTTGTTCAAATTTTCAATCGTTCATAAAATGCTTTTTATTTATCCACTCCAATTCAAATACATTTTTTTGAACTTGTAGTGGATGACACTTGATGTTAATACAGTTTTCAAATATTAATTCAGTAATTAAATTAAATTAATTGATTTTAGTTTTTTTTTTTAGATTTAAGTTGCATATATCTACCAATAGATGGCGCTAGGTAAACATAATGAAAAAAAAAGGTAGGAATTGATTTAAAAAAAATAAATTTTGTATTACTTGTTTCAAAGTGAAAATGAGATTTTTAAAGAAAATAGCATCGTTTGCAATTTTTTTTTTTTTTTTGTCACGCTCTCTGATACCATGGTAACTACTTTTTCAGAATTTTTTTTTTAATTTCTTACACGAGCTATAAATTATTGTATATTTAAATAATGTAAATTTTTTTTAAAGATCTGCAATGTGATCCTTGAAATCTGTATTTCATACGATTACTATTATCTATTTATCCTGACTTTTCTTTCCTACTGCCTTCACATACCATTGAGTAGATGAACGCTTCGCGTTCAGGCACTCCACATCTTTATTCAACAATGGTGAAATCTCTATTTTTTTAAAATTTCTTCCGCGAGATTTTTTCCACATAATATTTATTTACGAAACAATTGAATAATTATTAAATAATTTAGTAAAAAAATTAACTCGCAAAGAATAATTAATATGAAATTGTTCTAAACGATCGTCTGTTAAAAAATACTTTATTTTGAATTGAAAACGAAATTTTTCAAAAAAAAAAAAAATCTTATGAAATTCTAATTTTTTTTAATTGCTTAAGATTGCTGTAATACGTTTGATTCTTATTTAAATTTGTTACTTTATAAGTAGCCTGTATATTAAACGAGGTGATTATCTTTTTTTAATGTTTTAATTTATTTACTATTATTATTACTTTGAAATTGGTTTTATTTTATTTTAGAATATCATAATTGAAATTTAACAAATTGCAACAAAAATAGAATAATTTTAGAATATAAAAATTACAGGTTATTGTTTTGATTCGTATTTATAAGTTTAAAATCTTAATTTCCCATTTATTTTTTTATCTGAAATTCTATTGACTTATTTGGCTAACCGCAAGTAATTACTCTGTTACCATGGTAACGACTTTTTTAGTAAATTTTTTTTTAAATTTTTTCCACGAGCTAATAATTATATAATTAAATAATATAAACTTCTTTTCAAAAGATCTTCAATCTAATCCCTGAAATCTAATTTTTTAAAAAAATTTTTATATGTAATATTTATTTACAAAGGAAGTCAATAATTATTAAATAATTTAATAAAAAAAATAATAATTAATTAAAAATTGTTCGAAACGATCGTCTGTTAAAAGCAAACATTATTTTATTTCAAAGTGAAAGTGAAATTTTTCCAAGAAAAGAAAATCGCTTGGAATACTATTTTTTTATTTCTTTTTTAAGATTGCTGTTATGCGTTTTGTTCTGAAATTAAATTCTAAATTTTACAGGTAACCTTTATATCAGCCCAAGTGATTATATTTTTGTAATGATTTTTATTTATTATTATACGCCAACGGCCATACCATGCTGAATATACCGGTTCTCGTTAGATCACCGAAGTCAAGCATCATTGGGCGTGGTCAGTACTTGGGTGGGTGACCACCTGGGAACACCGCTTGCCGTTGGCATTCACAAATTTGGGACCTGAATGGCCGAGTGTCTGGCGCTCGGTGCCACAGGTTTCGGGTTCGAATCCCGGCGGTGCCATGGATGTTTGTAGTGGTTCGGTCTCCTATGACTGAAAGAGCGTCACGGAGCCGAAGTCAGACTTCTACCTACGGGTACTCCATCACAACAGAAGCTGCTTCCTTCCACTTCAATCATGAGTACGTATGGACTCAGGGGCTTGGCTAGCCAAGTGGGATAAGAAACAACAAACAACAACAACATTTATTATTATTTTGCAATTGGTTTCATTATTTTTTATTTTAGAATATCATAACTGAAATTTAACTAATTGCAACAAAATATAATAACTTTAAAGTATAGAAATAAGTGATTATCCTTTAGCTACCTTTTTATAAATGTAAATCGTATCGTTTTCAGCAGCGGTTCCGTGGTTTCCTTAACCAATTTCAATTTTGATATTTTTGTGTGAATCAGTACGATTCATCGGAGTTCCTTGGTCGCGAAGCGACCAAACCTCCTATTAGCAAGAAATAATTAAACAGTGGTAGTCGGTCACTGCCCATTGATAACGAAAAACAATTTGCACAATATATAGAAAAAGTAAAAATGTAAAAGAAAACATATACAAGAAAATACAAAGCACAACTACTAAAAAAAAGAGAAAAAGACCGGAGAGAACCTAAAGCCGAAGCACAACATAGCACCCACGCAGGAGTATTTAAAAGAACAAACAAAAGTATACGCGGAGCGCGAACTGAACCTGAAGTTACCAGGAGCATAGAAAAATGCAAGAGAAGAAATGCAGTCTACTGATTGATGTTTATAACACATCTAGGTCTTTTACGAGACGAGTGCAGAGAAATATCATATTCAAATTGATTTAATGCTTGGATTGATATTTTTGAAAGGAAAACGTTCTCTGTTACCATGGTAACTATTTTTTGGGTATTTTTTTAAATTTATTTTGGGAATTAATAATTATAAAATTAAATAATTTAAAAGTTCCGTAATCTGATCGCTGAAATCTGTAATTATTTTTAAATATTTTCGAATAAGCTTTTTTTTTTATACATATTTATTTACTGTTATTAAATAATTTAATTATTTAATAATAAAGATATCGTCGAGTTCTAAAAGATCGTCCAGTGAAAGCAAATACAATTTTATTTCAAAATAAAAATGAGATTATTCAAGAAAAAAACATGGCTTGGAATTTCATAGTTTTTATTTTTTAAGATTGCTGTTATGCGTTTTGTTAGTACGTAGAATTCTAAATTTGTATGGGTAATCTACATATCCTTATTATCATTTTTATAAGTTATGCTTTAACTTTCTTATTTTTATAAGTTATGCTTTAACTTTCTTATTTTTATAAGTTATGCTTTAACTTTCTTATTTTTATAAGTTATGCTTTAACTTTCTTATTTTTATAAGTTATGCTTTAACTTTCTTATTTTTATAAGTTATGCTTTAACTTTCTTATTATTTACGTTTTTTTATATAAGTTATTTTTTACTTTAATATATTTTTTTTTACTTATTATTTTTATTATTATCTTTTATTTTTATTTTTTAAGATTACTGTTATGCATTTTGTTCTTTCATTAAATTCTAAATTTCATA